ATCCTTTTTTTCCTTCTGCTCAGTTTTGCCGACTATTTTCCATACTGATGCAGTTATGTCAAGGTCTCTACAAATAACAGTATTGTTGATTTAGTCACTAGTAGAGATCACAACAGGCTCCCTGCCGCTGATTAGTAGGTGATCCTTAACTAGTGGTATGCAAATGGGCTGGGCATAAAATATATCTTGGATTATGATGGAGGTGAGAGTTTTAAATAGGCTTAGGCTTTAGATAACATACATTGCATTAGATAAATACTGCTTGTTCAACCTTTGAGTGTCTCATCCAGTGAAATCAAAATCTGAGGCAGTTGTATGGGACAATTTGGAAATGAAAAAAAGAGTGGCAGTTCACACCAATAGTTGACTGTATTAGCCTAATATCGTTATTAGTGACAAACTGCTCATGTATTGAATCATGATAGGTTACAACGAAAAACAACTGGCAAAACAAAAAATTGTAGGGTAAATTACAGTTCGGCCTCAAATTTTCATTTGAATTTCACTTTAGTCCCTCGTCTTCTAGTTGCAACAATTAAGTTCTCTCACGTCAAACCTTGTTCAAATATGGTGCTTCTGTCACTCACTGTTTAGGTAAAAATAACACTTTTCACTCTTAAACTTTCACTCAAATTTCACTTTGGTCTTTATGTCACAAATCATGATATATGATAAAGAAAAAATTGGTAGAACAAAAAATCACCTAACCTTTATAAATAGCATGGAGTGCTCTCTTTCTCACCTCATCTTACTTTGTCCCTCCCTCCCTCCCTCCCTCCCTCTGATTAGCCATCGTTCTCATTTCATAGACCATGGTCAGTATTGTGAACTATCTCAACATTTTGCAGACAAAACAGATTGAAAACAATGATCTCAATAATATGTAGCAAAGGCCTTCTTTTATTAGTTAATGTAACATAGATAGCTTCAAGAGTACTCCGAAATAAGCATTTCCCTTAGACTGCAATTGTCTTGTTTTATGGAAAATACTTATTTTATTTGCTTCTATGTCATTTCTTTTCTTCCTTTTTGGTAATCCATTTTCTTCCAACTTCTATTTGAACTTGGGGCAATTCATCTGTGATCAGTAAATAATTCTTTCGCCTTTCCCTTTTCATTGCTAGAATAGCTACATAACATTTATTTATTGGTAGTTATAAAATCTCATGTAAGAATAAATGTTACATTTTCTAATCAAATGCAGTGGCTACATGTCTCCTGAGTATGCAATGGGAGGGCTATTTTCAGAAAAGTCAGATGTATTTAGTTTTGGTGTTTTGCTACTAGAAATTGTTAGTAGCACGAGGAATACTAGTTTACATTACCAAGATCAATATCTAAACCTCCTTGGTTATGTAAGTGCAGTAATTTGACCTTAATTTGCTTTTGGAAACTTTAGTTGCCTTGATTATGTGGTTCTTATAATTTCATATATTGACATAAGTGGAACTATTCCAGGCATGGCAAATGTGGAACAAGAGAAGGGCATTAGACTTAATGGATGAATCATTGGATGACTCGCTTTCCCAAACAGAAGCTATAAGATGCATACATATCGGCCTTCTTTGTGTTCAGGACCATGTTGCGAATAGGCCAACCATGTCAGCAGTAGTTCTCATGCTAAGCAGCGAAATAGAAGTTCCACAACCAAAGCAGCCTACATTTACTACTCAAAGTTTGTCAGACGCTGATCTTCGATCACAATGCAATAGTATACGTTTCATGAGTACTGTCTCTAAATCAATTATTGAAGGACAATAACCAAATTCAAAATTATACTTTGTGTGAGTTGGTACCATGGTGACGATTCACCTGGCTTGATGACTAACAAGCAAAGAATGCAGATTGTGTGACAGAAACTGTTACATGTAAAGAGTTTCATATTCATCAGAATTGTGAAACTGACTCACTGGTGCGGCATTGGATATTTTGCTCACAAACAGCTTGTTAATTGACATGTTCATTCTCATTAAGATTTTAGGTATTATGAAAATTACCTAAATTCAATGGTTTTGTTTATTTTGAAAATATTTTAGACTGCCGTTTTAGTTTTTGTATGAAATGAAAAAATTTAGTGTATTTGGAATAGTTTTTATAATTGAATAGATAGTTACGTGAGAAAAAATAATTAATTGATATATATGATGTAGTATTTTAATCTTTTTGTGACTTTTAATTTTTTTTAATAGCCAAAAAGTCATGAGCCAAACCAACGTTATGGCAAGAGAGCTTCTAATGAATAATTTTTTTGGGGATTTTTCTCTTCCTGTTGAATTTCCAATTTTTCTTGAATTCCAAATTTTTCCTGTTGAATTCCAAATTCCTATAATGATGTTTAAGCCCCTACATGCTTTTGTTTTACATCATAACCAATGCAGTCACTACAGGAAATGATAGTTTTGGCAACCAAAATATTGGTCGCCAAAAGTCCCATTTTTGGTTGCCGAATGTAATTAGCGACTAAATTTTTTTGTCACCAAGTTCGTCGCCTATACCCTGTCGACTATAGTATTGGCGACTAAACTATTTTTGGTCGCCGAAAGTTAAACATTTGGCTACTAAACTTTGGTTAGTCGGGAAAGGTGATCTTTTGGTGACTAAATTATTGGTCGCCGAAATTGATCTTTTGGCTACTAAAGTTTGGTTAGTCGGCAAACGTATCTTTTGGTGACTAAAACATTAGTCGCCAAAAGTTCTCAAAGAAAACTAACTTAAACTATCAGAGACTAAAATTTTAGTCGCTAATAGAATACGTACATTTAGCAACCAAACACTTTAGTCGCCAAAGGATGTCATGTTTTTAGTGACTAAAATATTTAGTAGCCAAAAGAACTTCCCTCATTCTGATTTGTTTTAGCTACTATGTGGTTTGGTCACAAAAAGCCATTTGGTTATTTTTTGCTACTAAATTATTGGTCGCCAAAACAATTGCTTACATTTTTTGCTACCAACATATTTAGTCACCAAATACTATATTAATTTTTTATTTTTTTTTAAAATTTCTAAACCACCTGTATCCATTATTAGTGCAACATATTCCCTGTATAAACAATATAATCCATCAATACTGAATATATTATCAACCATTCAACAACGTGCACATATTTCACTTCCAACCATCTAAGGATGCAAAAGAGCGCAAAACCATGACTCATGGGTAAAGGGTGTTGGAAAAAAATTACTTGATATTTTCAAAATTGAAAGAATAATAATAAAGATTACTTGATATAATTCTTTCTTTTTATTTTTTGATTGTCTAAAACAGGATGCAAAAGAGCGCAAAACCATGACTCATGGGTAAAGGGTGTTGGAAAAAAATTACTTGATATTTTCAAAATTGAAAGAATAATAATAAAGATTACTTGATATAATTCTTTCTTTTTATTTTTTGATTGTCTAAAACAGGATGCAAAAGAGCGCAAATCTATGACTCATGGGTAAAGGGTGTTGGAAAAAAATTACTTGATATTTTCAAAATTGAAAAAAGAATAACAAATGTCGCAACAAATTCTAGCAGCTGCAAAAAAAAAAAAAAAAAATCATTAGTATTGACTAAATATTGGCCAATTTAAAATTATAAAAAAAAACATATAAAACTTGAAATTAAGTAATCTTTTCAAATTAATCATTAGTTTTGCATACTCGAATATATATGAAATAAAATTTTTGATATTCAATCTGAGTACATACAACATATGAATCTAGTTGCTCTATCTGAGTACATACAACATGAATTAATATATACATATTAGTCCTTCAAGAACCATAATAACTGAAACATCAGTTCAAAAAAAACATACCACAAACCCATATGTGCTACTCTCTATTGGCATTCCATAAATCATGAACCAAGCAGCATTACAAATGCATCCCAAAACTTTGAATAATTGGATTTTAAGGTTTAATAGCAACACAAGGATATGAAACTAGTATAGTCAAGTGTATGCCATAGATATAAGGAGAAGGAGCCTAAAACAGATACACACTGATAATATTTATCATTCACACACTGCACAGTAAACGAATTTCTCCACTTCATCAACTTTGCTTTAACTATATTAGCAATGTTCATAAATGGTCGATTCATGATAACAATAGCCACTTTAGCTGTTACCTAGGCATAATTTTTCACAATGTGATTCAATAATACCACATCATCCTTGTTCATCCTGTACCTCTATTCTCCTCTTCTTCAATGTGATTAACACTAACTTGGCTCAAAAATTAGTTGCTCAACACATTTGAAAAACTTGGCTCAAATTCTTAGGCTGTTACATTATTCCCCTGCACATTTTTCATTTGACTGATGTGTGCTTGTGCTTTTTTATACCACATCATCCTTGTTCATCTTGTACCTCTATTCTCCTCTTCTTCAATGTGATTAACACTAACTTGGCTCAAAAATTAGTTGCTCAACACATTTGAAAAACTTGGCTCAAATTCTTAGGCTGTTACATTATTCCCCTGCACATTTTTCATTTGACTGATATGTGTGCTTGTGCTTTTTTGTTTGTAATTTAATAGTTATGATGTTATCATGTTATCATTTTAATTCTTCTATTTTATTTATTTATTTTTCTGTTTAAAAGTCATCACATATGCATCCCTCTTTTCTGAATTATTAGGCTCCAGTTTTGGTTGTGGCTTGTAACCGTGCTAATTATCTTGAAAGGGCTTTTAAATGGATATCAATGGATATCAATTGATTGTGTTGAGTTTTAAATTTTTGTCAACCCAATTCACCCCCATCAGGTTGCCTTTTTTCTTGTTCCTGCTCCCATATAGTGAACTGCGAACAGTGAATTACATCTCATACGAGGGCACCAATATACATTAAGCTCCATGGAAAACTTTACCCATAATCAAAAAGTGAAAGACCAGTGCAATCAAAGGTGACAATGCTTGTGCTTTTTACATTTATTCATTACAAAGGTGACAATGCTTGTGCCTTTTTGGAATCCTATGAGCTTTCATCTTCAAAAGTTTCCTAGGATATTACATGGTTAATGGTTAATTTAGATTAAAAAGCTGTAATGAGATTATTAGATAGTGTACATAATCTTCCTAGAGTTAGTTTCTAGAGACGACAACCACTACTTGTGGTAGCACTCTTGGTTGTCCTTCATTTTGTGCACTTATTTTTTTTTTTATATGGAATACAATTTGTTTCTAATCAAGATTTACATAAAATACACCAATAGGGGGACAAACGTGCAAAGTGTCTTCTATGAATTGAATCACAAGTACAAATTCAAATTACACTATTCAATACAAATATTAAATAAGCTTTAGATTGTACCTGGAACAAGGCTGTGCGTTAGATGCCTGCACTGTAGGGATAAATGATTTGCCATAGGTCTGCAATAGTTGATACCTTTTTTCAGACAACTTCTTCAGCATTTCAGCAGACTTAGCCTTCATTTTTCTTAAATGTTCCTCCAAATCCTCATCACTCATATAATCCTTATTGCAACACCCTTGGCCTGAGGAGGTGCTGCCGTTCAAATCTTTGCGCTTGATTCCTAGGGCACTGCTGTGGCTTAGTTTCTCAGCCACATTACAATCATTCACCACGGAACCTTGAGAAGTGGCAGTGAGCCTCATCAAATCGATTTTTTCCTAAGAAAAAGACATTAGAAACATCAAAAACATTACACAGTAACATCAGAAACGTTTCTCCTATAACCTACACATGGTCCAAGAATCCCAAACAAGTTTTGAGAGATATCTTTCCCTCCATATACGTTACTCTAACAACCAAGTCTAATCCCACTCATTCAGCAAAAAGAAAGTGTCATTGCCACTCCCATGCCATTCACACAACAAGAGGTGGACGGTTTTTTCCAAAGGGTTCCGTAATACCCATTATCATAAACCTACGTTTCTAGTATATCAATCATTTTAACTTGTCAAAGAAAAAACAAAAGTTTCACCAAAACTACTTTCTTGATACCTCTATCTGTCTGTTTATTCTTCTTCAAACAGGAGGTCAATTTCATCACGCAGCTTTTGAATATCAGTAAATAAGTGCCGCTATTTGTGCACGACAACTTTGCGTCAAGAGTAGACCCAGAAACCACAAAATTAAATTCACAAGTTATCAATTCATATTGATAAGAATTCCAATGCATTACAACTTCAAGCCAAACAGAGTGTATATTCTTTCTAGTCTTTCACCCAATGACCAACTCTTGCTTTCACTAATTCAACCACATCAAACCAGAAGGGTTTTTCTATCCTGAATAGATCATTTCTAACCAGTCATATATGGAACCATGAAAATCGCATAAAATATTTTGCTCCCAGAAAGTCTTTTTAACCCCATTAATTTGTTATCTAACCACCATAAACAGTGTCCTTCAGAAAGACATGGCACAGAGAACTTCAATCCCTTTAATGTTAAGACACAAGACACAAAGAGAAAAGAATAAAAATAAATACTACTATAAAACCAATCAACCAATCATGGTCCTCACAACAACATAACATAATAAAAATTTCATGTTTAAATTAAATCAAAATTACAAATCATGGATCATCAATATCTTGTAACCGGCTAATATCTTGAAAGGGCTTGTAACCATCCTGGATATCAATGGAAAATCATAAATTTAATGGTTCAATTTGTAACAAAATAGCATATAATAACCAAAAAAAAAAAATGCCAACACAGGAAAAAAGCAAAATAGATTATAGTAACAAACTCATTTCAAAGAATACCTTCACACATTCCCA